CTTGTATTCCATTTCATAAAGTATGCTTTTGAGAGTCGTTTACCGATTAGCTATTGGTGTAGGCATGACAGCATTGCCACACCGAGAGGCAGTGTGACCTGGTCGAAACTATCCGGGACAGAAGTTGACGAGGAAGCGGTATCTCCCGAATGGCAGTGACAAGTTGTGTGGAAGCGCAAAGCAAATGAAAAGTGTTACTTTCATGGTCCGGTGCAGGGAGCTCAACGACATTTCTCAGGGCGGAGAGGACATTTCCAGTAGGAATTCTGAGCTTTTCAGAAATACCTTGGGAAAACTGGCGGCACCGACCAGGCCGAGCACGTCTGATCTGATTGTGAATGAAAAAGTGGCATACTTTCTTCAACAGCCCCCCTCCACCGTGCGCGGCCGAAGACGGCGAGACTGGCGTCGTTAGCGGAGACAAAAGAATGAACACACACACACACACACACACACACACACACACACACACACACACACACACCACACACACACACACACACACACACACACACACACACACACACACACACACACACACACACACACACACACACACACACACACACACACACACACACACACACACACACACACACACACCCGCGCGCGCACGCACGCACGCACGCACCCGTTCCCTTAATAAAGCAGATTAAAGAGCATTAAGCTAGGGTTGGTGCATCTCCGCGGGGCTGACACAGGTTCTAAACGGCACGTATGTTCAAGCTTATGTGACTCGTGGCTGTCGAGGTAGGATTTGGTCATGCTCGACCCACATGGTCCACTGTTTAATTGAGGCGCATGAACTTCACCTTGCAGCTTAGAAATGCAGATACGCTTTGGGCACCACAAGAATATTCAACCCACTGAACACCTCGAACCACACGCGGCTACAACAAAGGGATATCGTAGGTGCTGCAGCAATAGGATTACATCTCATTACTTGAATTGGCTTTCAACACTACATCCATTAGTGTCCATGCACTCTACCGTGTAAATGTTGATACAAGCGAAGATTCGCCAACAGGCGGCTTACCTTGTCTAGTCATGAACAAACCTGTGGATGTGCCTTGAAGAAAGCAAAGACAACCGAAGACCTCATGTGATCTGCATATTGCATCTTTGTTGAGCTCTCACAGGGTGTCGTTTCGAAAACGGTTGCAAACAGTTTGGGGCACAGTTTATGCAAATAGCACGCATTGGCAAGCGTGAGACAGCATGCCTTTAATGTAAGCAGATGCAAATGTGACTCCCATGATATCAGTCACAACCGAACCCGAGTTTCGCATCGCGTTGCATCAGCAGATCAAAAGGCCTCCCGGAAGACTTCGACATTCTCGTTTCGCCATGCCGCCGCTGTTTGTGTTTGGCGCGCCGCGCTCGGGGATCGTGGGACTTGGACGCTGCGAGCGGCGGCACGCCGGCCCCCGAGACGACACTCCATGGCCACGGCCGATCCGATCAGGTCGCGGCCATCAATGCGGCCGATCAGAGGCCGACTTGGTATTCATGCCCCGGCGGCGGCGGCGGCTCCCGCCATGCAGATTCGGCCGCGGCCGGGCGGCGCGGCGCGGCCGGCCGGACCGCGCCGACCGACAGCGATGAATGGCGGCTGCCGGCGTCCCGGGCCACCGACGGCCCGCTCGCCTTCTACGGCTATCTCGGCACAGCCAGGCCAGACGGGTCGGCCCGCATACCGCCTGCAGACGGCCGACTGGGCGCCCCGGGCGCGGGGTCTGGGGTCTGAGCGGCGGGACACAGCGGAGCACCGGCCCGGGTGCGCGGTCTGGGGCCTGGGTGGTGGAATACGCTGGAGCTACGGACCTGAGCGAGGGGTCTGTCTGGGGTCTGGGTGGCGGAACACCCTGGAGCTCCGGCCTTGGTGCGCGGTCTGGAGTCTGGGCGCGGATTACACTGGAACACCCTGGAGCTCCAGACCTGGACGTGGCGTCTGGTCTCTGGGTGGTGGAACACTGGAGCCCCGGGCCGGGCGCGGGGTCTGGTCTTTGGGCGGCGGGACACAATGAAGCCACAGACGGGAATGAAGCACGGGATGCGACGGGGGATAATATTTTTCAAGCGAGTTCCAGCCCCGTTGACGGTAGCTGCACACTAAAAACAGACAACAATCCCCACAAACGCTAAAAGGTATTCTGGCAACCGTATAAATAGGTACTAAGGCAAGCGTATGACGGTACTATGGCAACCGCATAAATCAGCTATCGACGTTGATTTGCCCTGTTGCCTTAAGCGATCTTGTCACAATTGTTCCACTGGACCTTACATTCTCATTCGGCAATTAGCTGGACCTGTTTCTACATCGCGGCTCATCGCCTCCATATATCGTGGCCTATGGTAGTGTCTAAGAGATTGACAAACTGTGCTCAAACCCAACCATGGGGGAGGGGAAGCGGGCTAAAGCCCCGTGAGCCACCCAACCCCCTCGCTGCGCTACTGCAGTGCAATGGACCACACATCTGTGTGCTTTTCATAGACCACTCCGTCTCGATCCAGACCACAACGTCGTCTGTTCGTGGTCGGAAAGGCTGATGTTGGTGGCTTCGCACTGGATTATTGGCGCATGTACGAACAGAAGTGTTGTGATAGCCTCTTGATCTGCAGACGTCGCATTCTCCTGAACGATGCAGTAAGCGTTACGCATTCATCTGTTCTTGTTGCACGGATGCGATATCAAACACCCACGATGCACGGCTCCAAGGTTTGCGCTGGAGCCCACGCGACCGGCGGCACACATCGCGCCACACTGCCAGTACGTTCCTCCGCCGCTGGCGCACTTGTGGTGTCACAACGCCATCGTCTCGTCCAGACCTGGGACCGGCTTCTGCCCGTGCCGTGCAGCTCACCCGAAGCTGATTCAACGTTGCACTTTTTCCTACTACGCAGTTGGTGAAGGCTACACTCTGATCATATGGCATTGTCGTAGGGACATCGTTTTACATACCAAGCATGTTGTGTGATGGTGCCGTAGAATAATGCTCTATATATATATATATATATATATATATATATATATATATATGCAAGTGAATATAAGGAGTACGCATCATGAGATCTTACGCTTCTTGCTAAATCCGCGTGAGCCTACGAAAAGCGTTTGCACAACAATCCTCCTAGATGCAACACGATCGGGCCAGTATCAGGGCATCCAAGTCGAAAATTTATTGAAGGGTGAAGCTTTGTGTGCTTCGTTTCGTTGATTATTTTATGAAAGGAAAACATTGTCTAAGAACAGTTGGCCGAATGCTTTACATTTAGCGTCGCTGCTATTATGGTTATCATCTGATGTCGTCCCTCTCAAAAGGGACCCGACAAGCATGTCATCCTCTGGTCTGGCAACATCTCCCACTGCTACCGCCCTTCAGTCATACACTTGATATCAGCAACAGATGGATATAGATATAGATATAGATATAGATATATATATATATATATAAAGAGAGAGAGAGAGAGAAAGAGAGAGAGAGAGATATATATATATATATATATATATATATATATATATATATATATATATATGTATATACCTGCATGAATGCATTCATACGTGCATCCGTCCATACACACTTACATTCATTGGTACGTACATCCATGCGCATACGTGCATGCGTATGAATAAGCATGCATACATACAGATATAAACACATAAAAACGTACATACATGCATCCATACCTAGGTGCATCCACTACAACCACATACGTACATCCATCCATACGAACATACGCAAGTACATCCATCCGTGCATACATGCAAACATATATATATATATATATATATATATATATATATATATATATATATATATATATATATATATATATATATATATATATATGTATATATATATGTTGCTTGCTTGCGAAAACAGTGTTTGCGGACAATCCCAGGGTACCAATTCGTGAGCTGAATGTAATTGAACTTGAAAGCTGCGCCTTGATTGGATGTCCGCCGTTTTCAGCTGATAGTTACCTCATGTGATGCTAGGGTGTCGTATCGCAGTCATGCAACACAATATGGTTATCATAGTGGTCAGGCGGAATAAAGCATAAACAAAACGCAGCGCCAGGTGGCGTTATAGGATGTTCATCCCATGGCCAATGAGCTTAGATTCTCGCACATTTGAAAACAAAACTTGAAACCACTCGTGACTTTGTTGAACATGTACTAGTTGTATATCGGTAGTTTTTCATCGATAAAAAGACAAAAGCCGGATGTTACAAGCCGACTTACAAAAACCTTCGCTGCAAGGATCCAGATATGCGGAAGTCAGGCATCACCGAGATCCTTGTGCGAATCGTGCAGATCGGTGGGAAGGATGCACGCATTTCGTGCCGCAAGATGCACGCGCGGCCCTCCAGATCTGAGACCGGCACGATCTAAGCCAAAAGCCTGACCTGCGATCACCGGCATCTGTCCGACCCAAATTAAACTGGCGGAAGCTTATCAAAACTGTTCTTTTCGTGCCAGAAAAGGTTGGGTGAAGCATCTTGAACAGAAAGGTATCACAGCCGCGCTGCATTGCAGCATGGCAGTGGCTGAAACGCATTGCCAGTGACTGCGAAACTGGACGATCTTTGCTACCAGTGATATATATATATATATATATATATATATATATATATATATATACACATCTCAGCCTGTCGACGGCCTCGTCAGCGATAGTCTGGGCCTGGAGTCTAACGATATAACGCTGAGATGAAGTGAATGAACATGGTTATATCGGAATATGCTGACATCGGAATTTTCAGTCATGTGCAGTTGCAGCATCGCATTTAATCAGTTACAATACGCATTTCAAGACCAGCATGGAATGCCAGATATAATACGATGGGTATATTGCACTGCGTATTCGGTAGCGAGAAAACGTCATGGAACGTTAGGTGATTAGCAAGTCCAACGTGCCTATGCGTCTGCCAGCTTGTCGCAGAATGCGGTATTCGCCTTCTCTAACATCCGCCAAACTGTTTGGCGTCGGCAGGTCGGAGGCGCTGCTGATCACTGAAGGGCCGCTTCCAGAGCTGACTTCTGAGCCACCATGGTACGACCCGAGCCGACCAGTCGCCGCAAACTGAATGATGCAAGAGGTGAGCTACTTTATGCGATGTATTCTTCGGATGCCCTGCGTCTACTTACATTGTCAAGTCCGTTGCGTCAGCCCAATAGATACGCCTTTCTGTACAAGGGGCTGGCGGGAATGGCGTGATGGAACCTATGCATAGAGCATGCTACAAAGAGGCGAGTATATTGAACTCGCGAGTTATATAACATGCCACTTTATGCGCGATCGACTGCGCCCTCCTCTTCCCCCCCCCCCCCCCCCCCAACTATGAAAAGAGGTGGGCCAAATTCGTAGAGAAATGCGTTTGTTGTCGTATTTTCGGGGCAGGCTGTATCATTTTACACTGCTTAACACCCCAAATCATTCAGGGGAACTACGCCCTCAATATGTCATATATTTCATCGACGTTTGTCGATATTTCGCCATTTTGATGTTTCTAGTAGTAAACATAACAACGATAAAGTCAGTTTCACAGCATCTTACTGCCGTAGGGATAAACCGCTTCCATACAAACAAATTTCACCCTTTAGGTGAAAGATGTTTGTTTTTAATCAACTGAGCAATGCAACTTTTCGTCTCGTAACATTTCAGTCCCTTTTCATGCATTTGGATCGGAAAATGCCTTTTGAAAGCGGTCATCGCGACAACGGCAAGTCGGTGACTTGCAGATCGCCACCACTTTCGGTCATCGACTGCGATATCATCCGTATGGCTGCTAGCTCACGTGTCTTGCCTAGTACTTCCGTCAGGAGATCGTTTCGCTGACGCGTTGACGTTGTTTGCACACGGCATGCCTATCGGAAGCGCCTTCCGATGACGCGTGAACCAAACTTTTTTGTTTAGGAAATGAAGCAGGTAATTGATCAAATCTTGGGTAAAGGAGGCAAGTGGTGAAATGGTAAGTGATCAAAGAAGCGTCTACCGTGTAGGGAGAGGTAGAAGGGAAGACAATGGCGAAATCATTGGTAAAGGCGTCGCGTACGTGCGATCCCTGCCTCGCCCTGTAGCTCGCCTCACAACCACGTCTGATTACCATTATCCCGACCATGGCGTGCCGTGAATGGCGGCCAATTAGCCACTCTTTGCCCGGATGTCTGGCCAGCCCAGCCCAAGGCATGAGGCCACAAGGCTGGGCCGCGGCCTGGCCGGCGGCTCCTGCCTCCGTGCCGCCTCCCACGGCTCCGTGACCGCGCGTGCCGCCCCAGACAGCTCCATGACCGCGCGTGTCGACTCAGACAGCTCTATGACTGCTCGTGCCGTATCAGACGGCCCATCACGCGCGTCAGATTTGACGCGCCGTCAGTTGCCGTGCGCTCCTGAAGCATGCAAGGTCCCAGACCGGAGGCAACAAGCTGGCCCGTTCTGAGGATGAATGGAACTTTGAGCTTTATGGCGCACAGCGCAATTGCACTTCGTGACGCCTCTCCTTTGGTCACGTCAACTGTGAGGACGTCTGCTGGACGTAGACTCCGTCGTTAATGAGACAGACTGGTAAAGCCGTGGTACGCGTGTGACGACTTGCATAGCTACATACATTTTTTATATGAGTGTGTAGATATACATGTGTATTAGCACCAGACATCCGTAGGTTGTGCGTACGTCTACGTCTAAGGACTTCCATGGCGGCTAGTGTCGGAAGAAATGGTGACTTGCGCACTTTATCTATTAGCCTGGCAACACACGCAAAGGCTAAGCCCGCTGCAAAAGGCAAAGGGCTAAACACGCTATCTCTGCTGCCTGCGATACCAGTGTCTGTGGTTACGCCCGGATGGTGCTGTCCGGGATATACCCAGCTGTTGCTCTATGAGCCTTAAGACGTGCTCCTGGAAACAACAAAACTATGCTGTCAATCTCAGCTAATATTATTTGCAATAACAACCATGGTGTATTACCTGTCAAACAATTGTTTCGAGATTATTGTGAACTTAAAGACGAACTCTTAGTAAAAAGAGGTACCGTATGCATCAGGAGAACGTGCAGACACCTCTCACGCACCGCCACTAGTGGTGCGTGGTTGGTATCGAGCGGTTTGTACCGCCGTCGAAGACGTATGCTTGGAACAGGCCTCACCGCTCAGCATCACAACGAATCCGGCCGAGACAGCTGCGCCGTCAGAGCAGCAAACACCAGCGGCGCCCGAGCATCATCGGCTGTCGCACAGGCGCCTGATCACAGTGCCTCCTGGTGACCCGCTCCTGCTCAACTGGTGCGCCAGTGCCAACACACACGCGGCGCTGCTCATACCATACGGAGCTGGTATACCATACCATCTGTTGATCATACATACCAGTTGCTCATACCATCTGTCCACCGGAGCCCTGTGCCCGCGCTTCTGAGTAGGTCTGTCCTCCCCGGGAAGGCCCTTCTGAGTAGGTCTGTCCTCCCAGGGAAGGCCTGACCAGGACGACCTTTAGACGACTGTGCACTGTGATGTAATGATGGCTCCTATCGGGGCTCGCGCCCGCTCTGACCACACAGCCGCCACTCACCGTCACCGGCCACCCCGGTGAAGCTGGACCGGCCGGGAGTGCTCCGCGGCCCTGACGGTCAGGCTCCCTCCCCACCCCCCGAGGGGAGGGGCAGGCAGACCAGGCACTCGGAGCCCGCTCGTAACAGTGGCTCAGCCAGGGACGTTTTGGCCGGTCCAATCCATTTGAGCTCGTAGATTTAAGGAAAAATTATGAATTTTTGGCTACCTTTCACCGCCAGATGGGTTCTTTCCTCTCATTAATATGTTTCTATAAATGTCCGCGGAAGCCGAGTCCCCGTCACCCTCGCTGACACGTGGAGGTACGCGAGAGCAACGCTGCGTATGAGCCTGTGACACTGTTCTTTCAGGGCGAACGAAAAATGTGAAGAACTGAAGAGCATGTGGATTTTATTCGTGTGTTCTGTGCCACACCTGATCTTGTCCCAAGTGGTCTGTCATTTCTCGCAGCTATGTGCTTATGAGGTATGGAGGGAAGGAGACATCGCTCGACGACAGAAGATGTGTCTTAAAATGCGGCGTATTTTATTTGCACAAGACTTAAAGGCGAGGGCGAGTTAAACAACTCGCCCTTTGTCGTGCCACACTCTATTTATGGCAACACGTCGGCATGCCCGACCTAACCGCCATCTCGTGCTGCAGATCCCCGCTAACCGTCTGTTATTTTTCAGGACGAGACCCCGAAGTGGTGTCGTGAAGCTGCCAGAGGGACGCGCAGAACACTCTCCTCAATATGCTCCTCGACATCATGACGGTGATAGTGGTGAGTCAGGGCCGGCCAGCGGGCTCAATCGTTGCTGAACTGCAAGGCAGAACGTCACATCGCCACTTTGCACCTGAGCGGGCGCGCACACAGCATTTTCGTACGATAGGACAGGCCTTAAGCAGACACCGAAGCCCTTGGGGGTTTGTCTAACAAGCGCCGACGCAGAACCGCATGTCGTTCTTGCCTCTGTTGTGAGCCTCCTGGTGCCGCATCTGGCGTGTCGTAGCGAGCAACTCGCAATCAGCCGCCTTCTTAGGAGCTCAAAGTTCCTGTTCCCCTGTCATGGCCGGACCACATCGGTGTCGTCGCAGATTGGGACATGTCAGCACGCGGGTCTGCCCTCGTGTGCACCCATGGCCGCGTGCCGCGTGCTGATCAAATGATGGGCACCTAGAACGTCACGACGCTGAATTCAAAGGGGTTGACATGATTTGCTTGGCGCCCACAACTCTGCTAAGATGTGCAGCCAAGAGGAGTGTAACACGACAGTTAACTGTCAAGCGGTGGGCGTTTGCAAATGTTTGGAGGGGTGTCGGCGTCGGTATTCTGCCCCGTATCAGTACACATGGGCTCAGAACACGGCACCAGCGGGGATGCTCGATCCTCAGGGCCAACAATGCGGGCGCACAAATGCACGTGCATCACAGTCGCCAAAGTAAACGTTTGCACACTGGCCGTCTCGATAGGTCAATTGGTTAGAGCATCTGCCTGGCGATCCTTCCGCCCGTGGCGGAATGGGCTCGAGTCGGTCTGGACGCCCGCTTTCTGACCTTGACAGCTATGGCCTGCGGCCGGCGGTAGTCGCCGCGTCAAAGGTCAGGTGACGTCAGAGGGCAGGACGCACCGTGGCCAGCGGCAGGTTGGACCTTTGCCACTAAATTCTGCCGTTGATCTGGAATTGTATCGTTTTATCGTAGGTGTCAGGGCTCACACACCAGGCGCTGCTTAGCGTGGGCTGTAATCCCAGAACTTCATCCATGCAAAAGGCTCGGATTACATCTTCTTTGCTTAACGAACTGTTGATCAGCACCACCTCGAGGTTGTCTGGAGAGGCTGCCTCAACTTCAAGCTTAAGTTCACGAGAGTTGGGGAAAAAGGATCTGGGGACAACAACAAAAACCGTGCTGGGCGTCACGTATGACGGCTAACACTGTCAATTTCGAATAGCCTTTTGGCCACAGCATAGTCTTCAACCAATTTTGCCGACCAAAAATGAATGCCATCCAGACTAATATTAACTCGAAAGGCAGAATATTTAATTTGGCTGCCAGATTACACCGTTCAGGCAGCGAGCACGCAAGCATGCCACCGCCGTTCTTGCCTTCGAGCTTTGGCCCCCGCGTCGTCTATCGAAGCGAGCTAGCCCACCTAAACCGGCAGCAGCCGCCTACCGCTGCCCAGGCTCCCGCAGGTCTGTATGTGACAGGTGTTCCTGATCTGGACGAGCCACCAGTGGGAGCCGGCGGAGCTGTCCGGCTGGAGCCCGACGGCGGGACGCGCCGACTCGGCGTGGTCGGACGGCGCCCGACGCCCGCCACACAGGTACCGGACGGCGCCCGGCGCTCGCCACACAGGTACCGGACGGCGTGTGGCACTCGCCACATGGGTACCCGGACGGCGCTCGCCGCACGGGCACCGGACGGCACCCGGCGCTCGCCACACAGGTACCGGACGGCGTGTGGCACTCGCCACATAGGTACCCGGACGGCGCTCGTCGCACAGGTACCCAGACGGCGCTCGCCACACAGGACCGGACGGCGCCCGGCGCCCGCCACATAGGTACACGGATGGCGCCCAGCACGTTCGAACGACGAGCACAGGCCCGATTTCCGGGGGAAAGAGGGGGAGGCCTACGGTGCTCTTCTGGCTGTTGCTGGCGAATGCTTGTTGGTTTTGCGTTGGTACTGCGCCAGAGCGTGGCTCGTGAGAAGTGTGTGCCAGGAAGGTGCACTGTCAGGGTGTGGGTATGTCCCCATCGGCAGGCAGTCCGGTCTCGCTCCTTAACCGTGCGTTTCTCAGCGCGGCAGCACGAGAGGGAACCCGGTACCTGACCCCACCTGACCGGGGACCTGACCCGGTGCCTGACCTGGCACCTGACCTAGCACCCCACCCGCAGGCCGGCCGGCCGGCGGCGGCGACGGCGCGCCTGGCTGGACGAGCCGGCGCTGGACGAGCCGCTGCCGCTCCCCGACGACGTGCTGCGGCCGCCGCTGCCGGACGAGGCGGCCGAGCTGGCGCGGCTGGCGGCGCAGCGGCGGCACGGCCGCGACGCCGGCTTCTCCGTGTGCTGCCCGGCCGACGAGGAGCGCACCAGCCCCCGCGCCGGCACGCGCCGCGACGGCAGCCTAGCGCTGCTCTACACCGACGACGCCTTCCAGCAGATGTTCTTCGAGCGCTCGTGCACGACGGCGACAGACGGCGAGACGGGCCGCCGCCGCCGCTTCCGCTGCGTGCAGCAGTACTCGCACTCCTACGCCGTCTACAGCATCAACGGCAGCATGGTGCTCGACTACATCCGCATTCGCAGCGGCTGCACCTGCGAGGTCAAGCACAAAGGCAGGCGGAAGAGGAGGCGTGACAGGAAGGGGAAGGGGTCGGAGCACCGTCGCAGTGAAAACAGGGGGTTCGAACAGACAAAGACGGCAATCCCATTCGCGTAACTACGTTAAGCTGCGCTGGTGTTAGTGACTAAGCTGGATTCAGCGGCGTGTGCGTTTGACGACGCATGCTTCGCCTGTCCGTCCCTGTTTTGACATGCTCTGCCACGGTGTACTTGTTAAATGAGTGTTATCTATCTGACAATGTAAGTAACCTCCAGCGTCTTCCGCGCGACATGTGCCATGACCAGACCTGCACGGCGTCAGGTCCTGGATGACGCTAAAAGAATAAATCGCCTTTCTCGCCAGCTTCTTTAACGCCCTTCGCCGACCGTGCACCATGGTTATGGCACCGCCGTGTCACGCGGTGAGTGCTGCAGACCGGTCGCTCATTGCATAGTTCACTTGACCACCGCCTTGAACAAGTTGACAACGTCGTATTCAAACGTAAGTAATGCTCACTTACAACATAACATGTATACATGCTGCATGACACGCAAGTTAGCTGCGCCCGTTCACTGGAACGGGATGACGCATCGGTTTGGCCGAAGCCTGCACCAGTGTAGTTACGAGCACGGCAGACGTCACGGATCAAACACTCCCATCACCGGTGCCTTTCAGCCATCCCCGCCTGCACCGCGGAACAGCCGCTGATCTCTGTGAGTAGCGAACTGACTGCAGCGGGGGAGAGCGGCGGGAGAACACGTGCTGCAGCGGGCGTCGAGCGGGAGAGCGATAGAAGAACACGTGCTGCAGCGGGCGCCGAGCGGGAAAGCGACAGGAGAACGCGTGCTGCAGCGGGCGTCGAGCGGGAGAGCGACAGAAGAAAACGTGCTGCAGCGGGCGCCGAGCGGGAAAGCGTCAGGAGAACGCGTGCTACAGCGGACGCCGAACGAGGGAGCGACAGGAGAACGCGTGCTGCAGCGGGCGCCGAGCGGGAAAGCGTCAGGAGAACGCGTGCTGCAGCGGACGCCGAACGAGGGAGCGACAGGAGAACGCGTGCTGCAGCGGGCGCCGAGCGGGAGAGCGACAGAAGAGCACATGCTGCAGCGGGCGCCGAGCGGGGGGGGAGGGGGGGGGGGGCACGGCGGTGAGCGGGCGCCGAGCGGCGGAACACGGCGGCGAGCGCCAGCTGGTGGCCGTCGCCCGTCACTTCTGCTGTTTCAGCAGGTCATCAGCTCAGGGGGGAAGGGGAGGGGCAATTGTCGATTAAACCAGTTATTGTCACCCTACCAGTATTGCATTTCCCTGGTAAAGGTGAAGGGTGGAGGGTGTTGGAGGAGTCGAGGTAAAGGCTCCACTACCTCTCGCAGTAAAAACGCAGATGGGATTTTCAGTGTGTTATACTTAGGGAGGGGGGGATTAAAGATAAGACGCAAATGAAATTCTAAAGCCAACGTTTGTGAAACAAACAAATAAGGAAATATAAATGTGTTGCACAATCCAAACCCTTTATCTGGAGTTGCGAAGCTGCCAACCAGTAGCCACGAGCGCCGATAACTTCCACCACTCGTCCCATCTACCGCATCGCGTTTTGAATACCCGATCTGCAGATTAGCGAACAGCAAGTTTTGTTTATCGGCATATGCTTGCATACTTTGCATTTCTGAGCATTACGTTACATTATGCAATTCTGACATAGCTCTTAACTACACTTGTGTCTAAACGTAACTCACTGCCAGAACACCATGCCTGGACTGCTTAAATCAGACATGCATCCACCACATCCTTATCAACAACTCTCGAGCTTTGGATCTGCCCAAATACCTTTGATCGAAATCTGATCGTATCGGATTGGTGTGGCACAAACCATGCGGCAGCGGCCGGGCGGAGCAGACGGCCAAACCTCCCGCTAGTTTGCATAGGGCGTTCAACATGCAATCGAACTCCCATTTTCGGAGCATTGAGCACAATGATCAAGGGCGGATCTAGCCTGGAGTTTTTTCGTGGGGGGGGGGGGGGGCAATCGTTCGTCGCCAGCTGGCTGGTGTGGGATCCGAGGTCCAGTCACCGTGCCTCGCGCGAGTACTTAGTAGGGACACCATTCAAAAACGAAAAAAGGACCGAAATGCCTTTGAATCTTACACAGAAGTTAAAACAAAACAGTTAAAACGGTTAAAGTCAAAACAGGCGGTAAGTAGACGAAACTTTTATGAAGTACTGGGAATGTTTTGGAGACCAAAACATACTCTCAGAGGTTTTGGGAGGGGTATGCCCCCCCCCCCCCCCCAGGATCCGCCTATGACAACGATTGATTAAAAGTCGTCTCAGCACAATACCGTGGCCGCAATCCGTTGAGAATTTTAATATTTGAGGTAGGTTGGGCTGTTCTCTTGGCCTCAAGCGCCTCCACCTTAGCGTAGCTCTCACGGCCAGCATCAGTTTGCGCAAGCAGTATTTGCGGACAGTCCCAGGGTACCAATTCGTGAGCTGAATGTATTTGATCTTGAAAGCTGCGCCTTGATTGGTTGTCCACCGTTTTCAGCTGATTGTCACCTCATGTGATGCTAGGGTGTCATAGCACAGTCATGCAACACAATATGGTTATCATAGTGGTCGGACGGAATAAAGCATAAACAAAACGCAGCGCCAGGTGGCGTTATAGGATGTTCATCCCATGGCCAATGAGCTTATATTCTCGCACATTTCAGTGCAAAATTTGAACCTACTCGTCATTATGTTTTTTGGAGATGTGCTAGTTGTTTATCGGTAGATTTCTCATCGGTAAAAAGGCAAAAGCCGGATGTTACAAGCCGACTTACAAAAACTTACGCTGCGAGGATCCAGATATGCGGAAGTCAGGCATCACCCAGATTCCTGTGCGAATCGTGCAGATCGGTGGGACGGATGCACGCATTTCGTGCCGCAAGACGCACGCGCGGCCCTCCAGATCTGAGACCGGCACGATCTAAGCCAAAAGCCTGACCTGCGATCACCGGCATGTGTCCGACCCAAATTAAATGGACGGAAACTTATTAAAACTGTTCTTTCCGTGCCAAGAGTAGGTTGGGTGAAGCATTTTGAACGGAAAAGCGTCACAGCCGCGCTGCTGGTGACTAACTGAAAGGTGCACCTAGCGACTGTGCAGCTGGACAATTTTCGCTACCAGTAGTTGGGCAACAGCTATCACGTGGCACTGCCTAAACCCATCATTATGCTATCCTTGTGACGGTGCAGCAGCCGTTGGGCAGACCATCCAGGGCGATGTTCATACCCACGATGTCGACGCCGCTGCCGCCTATGGAGAGTCCCGCCGGCAGCGTAGCCGAGTACATCATCTGTAACAGCGAGGCGATGTGTTGTCAGACCACTGTAGCCTATGGGGAGTCCCGCCGGCAGCGTATCCGAGTAAACCATCCGTAACAGCGAGGCTATGTGCTGCAAGATCACTGTGGCCTATGGAGAGTCCCACCGGCAGCGTAGTCGAGTAAACCATCTGTAACAGCGAGGCGATGCGTTGTACGTGAAACAGAGCCGTGCGAGCGGCGAGCAGACATCAGTTCACAAGGCAATAAAGCCGGTCATGCCACTGATTACCGAGAAATACCCGGCGGCGATTAATCCGCGTCACTTTCCGGGCACGTTCAGGGTCTTAACACGGCACACCTCATGTGGTGGGGAGTTATCGCATCAGCACACATGGCAGACATAGACGTAGGGCTTCGTTGCGTCATTACTTCAAGGAAGCGAGGCTACCACCTAATGCGTGGGATTGCTGTGTCGCAAGAGGTGTTACAGAGCCGTGGGTTACTTCAATGCATCAGTGTACACATCGCGATCAATGGGAAACCAATCTGTACCAGTGGACGCAGCAAAACCTTAAAAACAGACTCGATCGCATCAGTGCTGAAAGCGCACGCCACACGCTAATTAGGAAGTTTACTTCCGCACGCAGCAGCCCTAAATTAAAACTGAACGGC